TCTTCCCGTCTCCAAGATCCCCCGGCTCACTCGTCGCGAGAACCACCACGGTGCAGTCTCCGCACCTGCCCGCGCTCGCAGCACGCGCTGCCCTAACCAACCGCCAATTCCCACCTGCCTCCGGGCTGTGGTACTTGAACGACCCATGTCTTCTCTCCGCCAACCCCCCCCCCCCCAGACCGAGAAAGCAAGCTCGGATAATTCGACCGTCCAAAATGAGCCGAGGCGGCGCCAAGAGAGGCTCACGGAGACCAAGGTCGCCTCCGAAATTACCCAGGACAGCGCCAGATGATTCCAAATAGCCTCCGAGGTTCATCCAAGAGACCCCCAGACTGCCCCGCCACAGTTCGAGCACCCCCCAAGCTCTCCAAGGACCCCCTCACACCACTTCCCCAACCACACACACACACAAACATGATGTCTATTTCTTTTTTTTTCGAATTCGAACCCGCCACGGCGATCCCTCAATGTACTCTGCCCGCCGCGGCGATCCCTCCATGCACTCGGCCCGCCACGGCGACCCCTCAAAGAACTCGGCCCCCCAACCGCGATCCCTCAAATAACAAAACCCGCTGGTTGTCCCTGCTCCCTCTGTCGCTGCCGATAGCTTCGTCCGGCGTCAAGATGTCCCCAGGATGGCCCAAGAGAGCCAAAACAGAGGTCCGCCAGGGTCCCGCGAGAGCCCCAAGAGCGCCGAACACCAGCAGCCACACCAGCATCAGCAGCACCAGTACCACCAGCAGATGTAGCACCACCAGCACCAGCACCAGCAGCACAAGCGACAGCACCACCAGCAGCAAGATCACCAGCAACAGCACCAGCAGCACCAGCAGCACCAGCCCAGCAACACCAGTACCAGCAGCACCATTGACAGCACCACCAGCACCAATATCACCAGCAACAGCACCAGCACCAAGAGCACCACCACCAGCGCAGGCACAAGCAGCAACACCAGAGGCACCAAGACCATAAGCACCAGCAGCAGCAGCAGCACACACAGCGGCAGCAACACCACCAGCAGCAACACCCGCACCATTCGCCACCGGAGATCCCCCAACTCACCGCGCCCGCCCGCACTGTTTCACTGCATGCTTCCCCCCACCCCCTCTCCCGTCAATTATCGCCGGCATCGTTCCTCCATGGATCCTCGCAAGCCGAATCCGCCGGCCCCCGCATGCCAAGGGTACCAGAGTAGATGGCCGATATTCCCTGTCGCACCGTCGCCCTGAGAGTCCCGGAATCCAATTGTTTTCGGACCTGAGCAGGGTCTACGAATGGAAACGCCGAAACGACCCCGAGACGGCCCCAGGCCCGCGACAAAATCAGCACAAGCTCTGCAGCTCGCCGACCACACAAAAGAGCAAGCAAAAATCGACGCGCGCAGAAACGACACGCCATCTCCCCGCCCAAAACCGGCAACGAATCCAACCCCACTCTCATCCCTGGCACGCCCACCTCTTCCGAGAAATGAGCTCCGCCAGGCACACATCGGCCAAGTCGGCCGCCACGCCCTCGCTCTCCTCCAGGGAGACGTCCGAGTACCTACCGAGTGCCGCCCCACCCGCACACACACACACACACACACACACACACACACACCAAGGAGGCAGACCACACTCGAGTCGGAAGGGAGCGACCCGCACTGTGACAGGCCCAGCATGAGGCAACAATCGCGCGAAACTCGCAATCACGAGAGGTCACGAACGTGGACTTGGATCGCATGAGACACCCGACCCCGCAATGCCATCTGCATCACCCCAACCAGTGGATTTCATAAATGGGCGCAGGTAGCCCCAATCCACTCTGCTCCCGCCCTGGTCCAATTCGAACCTACATTGTAGTCCACCTCAATTGGCCGCTATCCTTCTACGCACCGCCCCGCCCCCACGGGTAAGACCGCAGAGCAGAACGCGCGGGCTCCAGCCACCCACCCACCACAAACCCACCACCAGCCCACCACCCAACAAAGCACCACCCACCCACCCACCACCCGAACAACAACCAGCCCACCCACCACCCACCCACTACCCACCCACCACCCACCACCCACCACCAACCACCCACCACCCACCACCCACCCACCCACCACCCCACCAACACCCACACACCACCCACCGACCACCCACGCGGCACCCACCCAGCACCCAGCAGCCGCCCACCAGCCATCCACCCACCCACCGCCAAGCACCCACCCAGCACCCACACAACACCCACCACCC